GGAAGCAAATATTGACATTTTAGGATGATTCCCAAAAGCCTAAAGCAGATTCAGCAACTATTTTAACATTTAAATAGTCCCCCAAATTTCCCATTGGCTCTCAACGTTTTATTTTGCTTATTGTAAGCATGTGATTTTTCCCAGATATTATGATTAAAAATCTGATAATAACCATGAACATTATAATATTGCCATGATTAATATGTGCACGGCCCATTTATTTCTTTATGCAAGTTATTAAAAAAATTATAGCTTCCTTTTCTGATTTTTCTTCTCAGGAAATTTGGATGTAAAGTCATCAAATAACATTTCTCCTCAGAAGATCCCATTATGTAAAGAGATCAGATAATAGATGAGAATCTTGGCTGCAGTGCTGGAGACTATAATTTATTTTTAATCAAGGATAGTGTGCAGACAGCTTTTTTTCACAGTTTAAAATGGACCAAATTAGAAAAAGGTGAAAAGCTATTCCAACATTTGGAAAAACTTTAATCAGTTCCTTATTGTAAATTGTCTTCCTATTATGTGTGGTCTTAAAACTATCCCATTGATCTGCATCATATTTAGGAAGAAAATGAAAAGTTTCCATTCTCATGAAAGAAATTTGAAGCTCTGTTGAATCAGAGATGTTGGATCAACATTTCTTTCTTATAGGATCATCAGTTTGGGAAACCTGGGCCAGTCTTGCCCGGAAAACAGATAGTTTCACGACTTAAAGTTTTTCTAACCTAATGTTATACATTTCCATCCTGAACATGTCTCTTCTACTTAGCCTGCAGTGATATTTTCTATCTGGGAAAATTGATTTGTGTCTCTGCTGTTGATCCTTTATCTGAATATGAGATTCCCACATGGGGAATAATTTTCTTTGCTTTTTCGTCATTTTTTTTCAAAGCTATTACAGATATTATGAACAAAAGTGACAAGAGAAGAAAGCAATTCTTTTCTTGACATAACATCAAGGCCTAGTTTTTGTAGGATTTATTATGCTGTCACAGCCAAATTTGTGTAGGACTTTATGCTAGAATATTGTCATAATAGTAATTTCAAATGTTTCAGAGCTATTTTTTTAATTAAAGTGTCTGCTTCTAACTACACAAATTCTCTTTCCTTTGGAATCTTTTACAACCTTCATTGAGGATTCCAAAGTCATAAGAGAATACTTGTGTGCCACATTTTCAATCGAGCCAGCTTGATTATGACACATTTTTGAAAGTGATCTGTAGGGTATTTTTAAAAAACATCGACTACCAAGGGTCGAATATAGTTCTGAATTACAGTCCACTGTGCATAGGTGCTGAATAAAAAGTAAATAAAGGCTTAGGAGGAGAGCAATTTGGTATAGTGGTTAAAGCACCAGTCTAGAAACTGAGGCACTTAGTTCTCATTGCACCTTAGGTACAAAGCCAGCTGGGTGACCTTTAGCCAGCCATAGGAAGCAGGTAAGGGCAAACAGCGTCCCAAGAATGCAGTCACCAGGGAGTGACTTGGTTGTTTTTTCATGCTGTGTTTGTTGTTTTTGATTAAGATGATGATGTTTTATTGCCCATTCATTTATCGTGCCTGTCCTTTGAAATTATTGAAATCAAGTACATATTTTTGAAGAATGCTAGCAATACTTTCACACAGGCTTATTCTGTGTGCTTGTCAATTATCAAAAGCCACCAAAACATCGTGGTTTTATGTCTTCATTGAGGCAATGTTGAAAAATGATACATCAGTGTTCTATACAAAAATGACAGGTATAATAAAGTCAACAAAAGGAGAAAAACACTGCAATTTTCAAATTTTCTGAAAATTGGTACCCCCACAAGGGAGGCAAATAACAAACATACATTATGGACCAAAACAGCCCTATACAAACTTGAGTGTGATGTCATGATGAAAGTACAGAATGGCACAGACATCATGTCATGGCATATATTCTAACATCACTGAGATTAGCTGCAGATGCCTAAGACCGGAAGGGTTTTCGTGCAAATCTATTTCCCCATTACTCAATGAATTTATCTCATATCTATGAATAAAAATATGAAACATGGCATTTAAGTTCTATATTGTCAAACTGGGCAACAAATCTGACAAATCCAAAATAACTTTTATTGTAGGATTTTAATAAAAGATTGGAAGTCTTTCTGGAAGAAGTTTTGTTACAGCAATAATGTACTTCAAAAGATTTCTAATATCTTATTTCCTTGTACATCTCTTTAATTTTCACTTAATGTACCTGCATAGTTTTCCTATGCAGTAAAATGGCAGTAATAACATTTTTATTGTGACTGTTTTTTTCTCCATAATTTTCAAAATCTTCCAATAAATTATTGACTTATTGAAATAATTATGTAAAAACCTTCCATCCACAAAAGCACATTTCATCATTATGAATGAGTGAAAGTATTTCAACAGTACTTCATGTCGAAAATAGAAAGGCACTTCTGATTATGTGATCTCACCATTACCTAGTAGAAGATACCAGTTGTAATATTGAAAGATGAAATGATTGTGATTCCATGATGCAAACTCCACCCCTTTGATACTTACATTATAACATTGTGCACATAGACGGTGCATTCAGAAAGTACTCAGACCCCCTTCACTGTTGTCAATTTTTTAATGCTGCAGCCTGGTTCTACAGTTGTTGAAGTTCATTTTTTTTCTCATTCTCTACACCTATTACTTCATAATGACAAAGCAAAAACAAAATTTTAGAAATGTCTGTAAATTTATTAAAAAGAAAAAACTGAAATATCACATTGGTATAAGCTAGGGCTCTAGCTGGGCTACTCTAGGGCATTCACAAAGTTGTCCCTAAGTCACTGCTGTGTTGTTTTGGCTGTGTGCTTAGGATCGTCATGTTGGAAAGTGAACCTTCTACCCAGTCTGACAACATGAGCACTGTGGAACAGGTATTCATTGAGGATATCCCTGCACTTTGCTCCATTCAGCTTTCCCTCAACCCTGACCTGTCCCCCAGTCCCTGTTACCGAAAAACACTTCCAGAGCATGATGCTTCATTGTTGGGATGATATTGGGCAGGTGATGAGCAGTACCTGGCTTCCTCCAGACATAATGCTTAGAATTGAAGCCAGATAGTTCAATCTTGGTTTCATCAGACCAGAGAATCTTGTTCCTCACAGTCTTGAGAGTCCTTCAGGAGCTTTTTTGCAAACTTCAAGTGGACTTTCATGTGTTTTGCACTGAGAAGAGGCTTCCATCTAGCCAGTCTGCCATAAAGCCCAAATCGGTGGATGGCTGCAGTGATGGTTGTCCTTGTGGAACTCTGTCCCATCTCCACACAGGATCTCTGGAACTCCGTGTTTTTAAAAACTCAGGATTTTAGTCACCTTTCTTGCTAAGGCCCCTACTCCCCCAATTGCTTCTTCCATTTGAGAATTATGGAGGCCACTGTGCTCTTAGGAACCTTCAGTGCAGCAGGAATTTTATTATAGCCTTCCCCAGATCTGTGCCTTGCAATTCCTTTGACCTTACGGCTTTTGTTCTGCTACAGATGCACTGCCAGCTATGAGGCCTTCTATAGAGAGGTGTGTGCCTTTCCAAATTATGTCCAATCAATTTAATTTACTGCAGGTGGACTCCAGTCAAGGTATAGAAGCATGACAGCACTGGTCAAGAGAAATGGGAGGCACCTGAGCTAAATTTCAGGTGTTGTTGAAAAGAGTCTGAATACTTATGACAAAGTGATATTTCTTTTTTTCCTCTTTAATGAATTTACATACATTTCTTGTTTCACTTTGTTATTATGGGGTACTGAGTGTAGAGAGAGAAATGAGGTAAAAATGAATTTCAACAATTGCAGAATCAAGCAGCAGCATAACAAAATTGACAGAAGTGAAGGAGGTCTGAATACTTTCTGAATGCACTGTACATAAGGGGTGGAACATCTCAATGCTCACTTGATCTTTCTGATGAAGTCATCCTGCTGCCAATAACCTCTGCCTGGATTTATAATGGCATATGCCATAATAGTTGAATAAAAAAAAGAACCTAAAATAAATTTGTACTTATTTGATTGATTATAACAGCTGTCTGAGAGACAATGAAATAAAGAGATGCAGAATAAAGAAGATAGAAACAAAAGTACTGCTTCAATCTGATGACTGTTTAAAAATTGACATTTAATATTGGTCCATACTGATAGAGTTTTGAATTGACTGTTTAAAGATTCCCCCTAAGGCTTATTTCATTAGGATAATATATTGATAGTTGCTAAGAATCTGAACTTATCTCAAGATATTAGTATAATCACTTCAGAAAGTGATTTACATATACCTAAATTAATTACTCCCTCACCCTATTCCCAACTACTTATTCTCTCTCATTTCTGGCTGTTCTCAAATCTCTTTCAGCCAAAGAGCTATGGTAATTCAAACAAATCGCATGTATTTCAACCCATCATGTCAAGATTCTCTGGAACATAAAAGTGTATTCATATATATCAAGGGTGTCAAACTCAAGGCCCATGGGCCAGATCTGGACTGGCCCATGGTATCTCTGCTAGAAAAATAGGGCACTGGGTGGCGTGTCCTGTTTTGGCTGACAGAGTGCTGCAGGAGGCCCTCCAGGACAAAAATGGGGTGCAGGGGGGATATGTACAGGTCTTCCACGCCCCATTTGGACTGACAGAGTGCTGCAGGAGGCATCCGTCCCTTCTGCTGTCCATCCCATCCCCGGCCAGCCCATGGAATACAGCTACAGTGCTGATATGGCGCTCAAAGACATCCAGTTTGACACGCCTGATATATATGATGAAAGCAACACAATACTGTTTGACCTTGTCGTGTTTCTTGTTTTGATTATCCAAACAAAATAATGACAAAATGTCCAAATGTGCCATTGACTTTTTGATACAGTTTTATGTCAAATGTTTCAGTGGTTATGTTGAGCTGAATAGCAACAGTTTACTTTGCCATTTACTATGTTGAGCTGAGTATCAACAATTTACTTTTTAAATTAATTGTAACTTTTATTTTTATTTCTAGGTTTTGAGTTTTGGACATTTGTCGAAGGTGTTGGTTTTAGAGCTAGTTTATTCTGTCCTACGCCTGCTTCACTGAATTGCGATTAAAGTGAATATCCCTGAGAGGATTACCATCAGAGACAAATCTTTATATTTTTCTTCTGAAAACTTCCACTGTTGAAGTAACCTTATATTTTGGGCCACAGTCATGTGGTCATCACAGTTGCTGCTGTTCTTCACAATTCTCTTAGTATCCACAGTCCATGGTAAGTACATAAAATAATGTTGGTTTTAATCATATGAAGTGTTTCCTGGGACTGAAAATTTCCAGCACCTTCCAATTTGCAATTAGTGGAAAAGAGTTTGTTACCATTTTCTTAAAAATAATGGGGGAAATAAAAATGTATTTCTTAAAAATAAAGGGAGGAAACTTTTTCAGATAATTTTCTTTAATTTTGTTAAGCATATCTTTCTAACCTGTTATTCTGTTAATCTAATCTAGATATACTATATTGCTTGATAACAGCAAGTGTTCTTTTCTGAAACATTATGGAGGATTTTTTATTTCTACTAAAAAAGAGATGGAAGAACAACTGATGTTTATGCAATGTTAATTGTGATCAGAGCAGATTTAATAACTTAAATCAAGGAGTACCCAAGGCTGTCAATCCCAGTCTTTGAGGAGATGGATATTCCTTTTGAAATAGTCAGGATACTTATCTTTGAATAATTTTTTTTCTACTGAACATCTACTGTGCTTCTGTTGTGCTTAAGTCTTGCCTTATTTCCCAGGGAAACTGATTACCATTGGGAATATATCAATTGTACTCACTAGTAAAATGGAGGCAAGGCCAAAATGGAGGCAATAATAGATGAATTTAGAACTTATTTATTTATGAATTTAGAATGTATTTAAAACTACAGCAAATGTAGATTTAATTAGATCTTATTTTATCCTTGTCTTCCTTGATAAGAGTTACAAATGTTAAAAATAGTGAGCCAGAAACCAGCAAGCTAGGAGGAACTGTTATATAATTTTTGAGAAAATATCTCTGACCTTCAAGGCCATGATAATGGAAAAGTGACCATTGCATTGAAAGGCAGGAGGGAAAGGTGTAAAATTTAAACCTTGGAGAAAACATATGTACTGAGGTTTCCGTGTTTGGATATTTTGTGTGTATAAGGTTTGTACTTTATCTGCAGTAAATCTGATTGTGCCACATCTGTGAATTTCATGGTGCCTGGAAAGACCAGATTTATTACCATGCTTGCATGAAGTCTGAAAGCAAAACTTTACTACCTATGTTCTCAGTGTTACAAAAGAGCCCGTGCCTTGAACCAATTTGTGATACAGATAGATCAGTTTACTCCAAAATTAACTCGGTAAGTACTAGGTAGAACAAAACTGATCACTATCATAAAGTCCCATAACAATTTTGGCCCAAAGTCTGGCACTCGTTGCTAGAGCAGCTGCAGCAGCCACAAACCTTCATTACTGCATAACTATCTTGTTGCCTGAGGATTAATATTAATGATCTAGTCAAGTAAGTGACCACCAACTGTGAAATCCTTCACTTCCAATAAGGTGAGCACACAGTGCAATATTACTGACTTTCAGCTGTTAGTTTAGGATGTTGCCTGGCATGAGAAAGAGGCTTCATTTACTAGCTTGAACAGGAACTGTCAGATGTAATAATGAAGAAACCCATTCAGCGGATATCCTCAACTTCTGATATCTCTTATGTGAGGATGTAGGAAGAGGGAAGAACAAAAGTGAATAGTGGTTTCTTTCCTTCCTCTTTCTATTCTGCCAGTTTCTTAAGTCATCCATTGGTACCCACACTTGATTTAATGCAGGCCAGTGGTGGTATGGGACCTGTTCAGACCGGTTCAGCTGAACCATAGTTTAAAAAAAAAAAAAAAGCCTCCCACGAAGAGCTGAGAGAAGAAAGAAGAGAAATGCAGGATCGGCCCTCCCAGCTGCCCCTGTGCTTTTCTCTTCTTTGTCCTCTCGGCTGATTGGCACTACAGGTCTCAGCTGGTGTGGGGAAAGCTGCACATGATATTAGGTGCACGTGCACTCGATCATCGAACCGATAGTGGAACAGATAGGATCCCACTGCTGACGCAGATTGGTTGGTTATCAATGGAGGACTTAAAATATTTGTGGAGGTTTTTTTGCAATGAGGTACCCTAAAATGTTCCATATCGGGATTGTCAGAAAAAGTGTCACTCAAAAATGAGTCTTAACTTTAAGGGGCACTCAGAAATCAAATGTATTCTAGATACTATAGGAACTATAGTCAGATATTTAGGCATTTATGTTACTCTTCAAACTCAGGCAGAAATATGGTTGCAAACTCTAATAGACTCTGGCACGACATATAACTTAATTAGCATGTAACCTAAAATATTTTTGCCCTATGCCCTGTCTTCCATCTTTGTTCTGCTCCTGGAAAATTTTGGACGTTTTCCTGAGATATGGTCCACCTCGTGAGACTACTGGAAGGGAGACTTTTTCCTTATCTCAACAGATCTGTATACGACAACACTAGGACCATTATGTTGTGATGGAATGTGCACCTGCAGGAACAATGGGGGAGACTTTGGCAACACAGAACCTTCCCAGAAAGAGGTCCAGATTAAGAAACTGCACAGTCTGTAGCTGGATGAGGAAGGGGAGAAGAGGTTCAGGGTAGCCACAGGCTAGAATCTCTCAGGATATATTTGGTGGGCAAGACAGTTATAGCTTTAGTTTGGCAAGATTCTGGACATTGGATGTAAGCAAATAAAGGATTGGACTCAACTGGATCTTGCTATCTTGTCTCTGGGCTTGCACATGACATATGTTAAGGCTTGGACTGATACTGTATCCAGGTTTGGGGAGTGGGACTTCATTTGATCAAACTGGAAGAAATATAAAGAAAGGCAACAAGGGAGTTATACTATGTTGGAATGAAAGTTGGAATAAGTTGTATCTTTCATACCTTGGCCATTGCTGACAGCTGGTTCTCTGAAAACAAGCCTGTTCATATGATATACACAATTAGGTCAAGAGGATTTCCACCCGGCTGAGTCAAGGATATTACCTATAACCTGAAAATTAATCCCAGGTAGCTGATTAGAGCTAAATTAAATCTCCTTGGTTAATGATACAAATAGGGCTGAGCTGTTTAATAAAGTGTTAACATTTGTTTCCCTACTTCTAAAGGAAAGCTCCAGACAAGGCAGAACTGCTAGGTCCTCTATCACTTTTTCACTTGGTATCCACTGAATGCAGATGGAAAAGGAGCCAAAAGGGGGTATATATGCTACCAACCAACTTCATCCACAATGCTGCTAATCCCAATCCAGTTGCCAGAAGTTGTTGGATTTCTATTATTTTTCTTCATTTGCTGCCACCCCAAAAGTCAAGATTTGGCAGCTGTTCAGCTTCCATTGTGATGGCTGGGAGGACTTTGCTCCCTTGCAATTAAATGTTATCAATGGATAGGCCTAAGGGAATGGTTGACTCAGTCAGATCATGTTATTCCAATCAAGTCACAGTTTCTTCAGGGGAAAAGAACATCTAAACTGGATGGCCTAAAGCAACAATGTTAGTTAATTCACTGTGTCAGTATCAGTATATTTCAACCATCACTTTAGAATGGATAAGTGAACATCATTTGAACATGGGTAGAGTGCACTATGTGTGGCCTTTGGGCTTTGTAATGTGTATTAGTCAGTTTTCATTGACTTTAATTCCTGCATTTTACTTGTCTTCTCTGAAAAATGTGTTAGCCCTAAAACGAGGAACTTGTAGAATGTTTTCCCCTTTTCAGGAAATTACTTGGTCATTTTAAAGGGGAAAAAAGTATGATCTGTTTTAATTTTTTTCCAAGTTGACTCATTAAAGCAACTGCATCTTTAAAGCAAGCTGTTACAGTAAAACCATGAAAACCGACCAGGATACTTTAAAATGACGAATTCCCATATCTTTGTGTTTTGATCCTGTCTTTTAAATGATCTGCAAAACATTCAAGTCCTATTATTAGCCATCTCACTGACACACACACACAATATTTTGGATTTCTTGGTGCTGTTCATTTGCATGAATATTATCTCTTCTACATATATTTAAATTCAGCATGATTAAAGGGCAATCATGTTGAATTTAAATACCCTTAGAATTCTATGAGTATAATGTTCTGTATTTTTGGTGTCTTGAAATAAATGTGAATAAATAAATAGTTGATACAGTGTTGATGAGAAAGTAACAGAAATGTCTTTGGACAGAGTGGCTCAATGGCTTACAGAAACAGATGAGCACTGCCCCATATAGTTGGCAGCGATGACTAGCAGAGTAAAATATGCAGGGACTCCTTTACCTTTTTTTTATCCTTGAAATAAAACTGACCTGTTTTTATGGTAGCAATCAAAATTTAAACTAATCTGTTTTTTTAGGATCAATTCTGAAGTTACTTTTTATTGTTTTTCTTTTGTATTGTGGTTGTGTGCTTGTCTGCTTGCACAAAAATGCACAAGGAAATGATGACATTCAGGTGGATCTGTAGATCAGAGGTCTCCAAACTTGGCAGCGTTAAGACTTGTGGACTTCAACTCCCAGAATATGGGAGTTGAAGTCCAAAAGTCTTAAAGTTGCCAAGTTTGAGGACCCCTGCTGTAGATACTTCAGCCACAATCATATAACTGAATCTTCCCTTTCTCCTGCTTGTTCTGCTGCCACCATCCATTCTCTTCCAGAACCAATCCTTCTCTGGATTGGTTTACTTTTCAAGCAGTTGAGTAGTAAATGTCCCTTGACTTTTCCGAGGTGCTTAGCTTAATGGAGATGAAGAGTATTCCAAATAAGGATGAAACCAGTCACACGGTGCCTCCTGGCGGTCAAAGTAACAGAATGAATGGGTTGATTCAGTAAATAAATTCAAGCCTTTTATTATGGATAACAAGATTAGGCAATTAATGTGAGTGAAAGTCAAAGGGAGAAATGAAAACAAAAAGAAAAATGGCAAAACTAACTTGAAGAGATTTGTCTCAACTGACTGCTTTCCAGACAAGATTATATATATATATAGAGAGAGAACAAGAACAGAGAGAAATAGGAAAACAAATGCAAATAAAGAAATCAGTACAACTCAGATGATTTTTCAATATACATACTCAAAATTAAATATCTCATAGCCTTAGAGTCAGTTTTTTACTTGCTTATTATTCTATCTCCAATCCAGCATTTTTGGATTCAGGTTTCTTCCTTACCTAGCATTTA